CTGAGAGCTGGCCCAGTGGAGAGGGAAGGTCATCTCCAAGGCTGACAGTGCCAAATAAGACAGGAATCTTGCACAGAAAAAGCCGTGTGATGGATTATTCGAGTTATCTCCTGGGAGGAAAGGCATCCTCTCAACTAACCTTAAAYCCCTCGGCACAAACCAATGACACAGAGTGAGGCAACTGCCTCCAGCACTTCTGAAGCTCAATAATTAGCTTTTGCTTAGGCGAAAYTAACTGACCAGTGATCTCCTGAGACAGAGTAAAGCATACCCATTCTCATGGTTATTGGTTTGTATCTTTTAACAGAAAAATACRGTCCCTTCTGTGCCAAGTATTTTACAGATGCATACAGCACAGAGGTCATGATGAAGATGGCAGGAGCTGTAATTCTTCAGCTTTGGAAAGGCAAGGAAACCAGCCCACTCCAAAGGCCAATATATTTCCTTACAGGATGCAAAGCTGTATGGCTCAGTAAGCCACCAAAAAGATGGAAAGCTCGATTAACAACTCAGCTCTTAAATACCTCTTGCTCTAATGGGGTAGATTCACACTCAAGATTCTCATGGCCCTCATCTCCTCAGCAGCCCCAGCAGGCACTCTTTCCTTAGTTCCTGAGGGTCCTTCTCTAGAATGACTTAGCAAGAGAGCTATACCTGGACAAATGCCTACCCAGTGTAAAGTAAGCTTTGCTTCTTCTGCTAACCAGGCACTTCTGGCAAACTCAGATCCTTGTTTGAAAACTATTTTGTTATGTTGTACTATAAGAAGGACCCATCAAGCTGCATAACTGTTGACCAGTGCTGCATATGGAAACATTTTCTGTATTTTACAAAAATGCCAAATGCCATTTAAGAGCTCAGCAGCCTTAAGGCAAGGATGAGAATAGTCTCTGAATGGCCGGGAAAACATCCTGAAGTGACATTTTTTTTTTTTTTTTTACCCAAGCTAAGAGAGACATGAGCAGCCCAAAGCCCTAGTTAGACCTTCGTTTTTTTGCAGACTGCTGCTGTCAAAACACAAGACAAGGAAGACCATGGTTACTCTCTGGATAAGCTTGCAAGACCTGTAAAAGACATATTTTCCTTTACTACAAAATAAATCTAAAAGCAGAACAAACATGCTGAGCACAGTAGYTCTGTGAAAAGGAGACAAAGGAGATCCAAGACAATACATTTAAAGCTAATGCATGGCTGAAGAATTGCTTKGAGTCAAAGCTGATTAGCTCGGTCATTAGTGTTTGACACACAGATAAACTTTTAATGACAATAAACTGTTCTGTGAAATACAGAAGTCAGCTTGAGATGTCTTCCTTTGCAGGCTGTCAAGTATAAAGTTACTATGCCAGGCAAAAAGGAGCTTCCTGGTAAATCAAAGCCATTGATATGATATAAAAGGCTCCTGATAGAAGGCATGTCCACATGCTAGAAATCTACAGCTTTACAGGTGTATATTGGACCTTAAGGCACTCCCCTGTGGTTTTCATAGGTAGTTGACAAAATGAGGAATGTCCCCTCCTGCCCTTCCCTGAAGGGTTCAGTGTAGATAGGGGAAAGTCYTTAATTTTGCAGAGGAAAGGCATTGGCTGACTGTTACTGACCATGTTTTTAGTTATGATGTTCAAACTTCTTTGAAAGTATACAGAAAGTCTTTGTAAGGAGGACATGTGCAGCATACAAGTATAAAGCACCARTTATTTGTCTAACAACACAAATTATTGCTAATATTTGATGCACAATTCAGATAAGTGTCATGCTCACCAGCCCCACAGGATACCTTGGGAGTCACTGGTGGTCAGGAATGCATCAGATGGGCTGATGGCTGGCCTCTAAGGATCCTTGGGACACAAYCTCTGTGTTACTGGGTTGCTTTCATTTCCCAGGTCAGTGGACATAGATAACTCTGACAACTCATTTACAKCATTACTCATTTACAACTAATCAATTACCAGCCCCAGGTTTTGGTTTTTTTTTTATTTTAGGATTTTATACTTTTTCAAGATGGTGTTTATCCCATTGAATCCTTCAGAATCTAAAAGAGTTGTTTCAATAAGCCTATTCCTTCTCTTATTTTACTGCAGATTTTCTTACAATTACTTCAGCCACAGCAACCACAGCAAGGGAACAAAACGGGGTACAGATGGACCAGGCCTCTGGAGTGGATTGTGGTTTTTATAGAGAGAGGCATAGGTTTGATGGAGCAGCAGAGAAGAGAAAGGGAAATGTATGAACAGCATAACAATACWAAATCACATGTGATTTTTGTGTACCATCTCACAGCAGCAGAAGCCTTGTAGTCAGGTCTCAAGAGGAGGTAGTGTGATAGACAATTTTGTGTGGATCTCTATGGCAAAGACCTGTTTCTTGCCTGAAACTTATCTTCTCTGGGGCAGGAGCCTGGCTGCAGAGCCTAACTCTGGCCACAGTGGAATGGAAAAAAATCAGGAATCCTCCAGATCAATGACATCTCCCTTTCTAGGAGCTCCAACAACTCAAATGAAAAGAGAAGAGGAGATCATGCTATAGACAAGGTTCATGCAAAGAGTTCAGCAGTACCACTGGTCCAGTGTCCTGTGTGCTGGGGAATCAGTAATTAGGAGACTTCTCTGGGCAGTTTTCCATCATGCATTAGCCTAGGAGTCTGCAGCTCCTGCATGGAACACAGAAGACGTGACTCCAGAGGACTCACAAAAGGCCACACACACCTAGTGTTGCAGCTCTGTGTGAGACATTGCAATTTGGTTTTTGACCAGCTCATATCTTCCCTGACACTTTTGGAGCAGTTTCTGTGCATATGTACTGTGAGGGTAACTCAGGAGGGGAGGAAGGGAAGAAAGGCAGAATGAATGTAGCATGAGGTGAGCAGACTGGTATTTTTCCAAARGGAATAAGGCAGTTTAGGTTTTTCTTCCCTATTAGAGAGAAAGTACTGCAAAAAAAAAACAAACCAAAACTAAACCCAAAAAACAACATCTCCCTCAACCAAACTCAAAAACCTCTGAACCAACCAAATGAACAAACAAAAACCAAACAAAAAACCCCCACAAAACAAACAAACAAACAAACAAACAAACAAACAAACAAACAAACAAACAAAAACCCCCAACACCCCCCATATAATTTAGAATCAGAATGAGCTGAAAAGCCCTGGCTACTTCAGGAGTGCTATTTATCTTCTGGTTTTGGAGAGCTTTTTAGATGTTGAGTGCAAATAAACAGTATAAGTGGCATAGATTCTAGTGGAGCAGGAGAGGTAGTAGTGAGATAGACACTTGGCATGGGGGACAATGGCAAGCACTTGATCATCCTCTATGCTAAGGATATGACCAGAGAGGGCCTGCATATCCAGAGACCACTCTGTATTGTTTAAATGCCTGCTAAGCAGCTTGCAATTGCAGTATCTCCCACCCCAAACACTGCAGACAGTCATGTAAGCTTCCTAGGGCATGGACACACACAGGGACAGCTGGGCATACAGTGAGCCATTCCCCCTGAGTACCACAGCCTCAGTGCCTGGGGAGTGCAGGGTGTGGCTGTGGTAGTGTTTGGGTACCTGTGTATCTGCACCACAGTAACTCYGAAGCCCTGCTTCTCCATCACCACTGTGCAGGTCCTGTACCTGCAGGGGAACTACAGAAAGCTGGGCACCTTGGGGGTCCCCAAAGGATTTGGGCACCAACTGGGTGCATCCTGGTAACATCATCTTGTTTCTGTTGTGGCTCAGATCTGCACACAGATGTCCGAATCTGCAGACTTCTGTTCTGTGCAGGCAGCGTGTGAGCCCCGATTCAGGCAGCATTTGTGTACTTTTCATCAAGTGATAGCTTCTGCCCAAGGCCAGCCTTTTCTTTTTTTTCTTTTCTTTTCTTTTCTTTTCTTTTCTTTTCTTTTCT